ATTCGACAAATGAAAATTCACAGGAATTTGTTTCAGCTATTAGAACAGAATAATAGAGCTTTTATAATACTAATTTAAAAATGCACTTCAAAAACAAAGATTGTAGTTTGAAGATGTAGATTTTCAGGAGGCAACAGTATTGTTGACTTCTCCCTCCACTGGACACCAACTAACTATTTAAGTTTATTTGCATACAAAGCAGAGCTTGCAACATGATAGTTATTCATAGAGGGTGTTTTTTTTTTACTTTTCATATAATACAGTAGTCACACAATGAGGCAGTTCATATTTGTCTCAGTGAATCATTCATTTTTGACATATACTTGTACAAAATATTCAGACAAAAGCCAGCTAAGATTTTCTATTATCTTACATGTTTTATGAATCTATTAACGTCTAAATGCAGCACTTTTTTTCTGTGATGCATTTTTCTGCATTTGTTTTTATACTAAAATATCTGAATAACTTTGAATAAAGCTGGAAATTGTGTCCCTTAAAATAGTTAAACAAATTAGGCACCAATGTTTTTGTAAGATATTTACATCTTTTAAGGACATTCGGTAGACTGATTCCCCACTGGTGGTTCAACCTCAAAATTTGTTTGTATTCAAAATTAATTATGACAATGCATGTTTATATTGAAACAAACTATGAAAAAGGGAAATATTATATAACAAAGGGCAAGGTCACCAGAGTTTAACTATGTTATTACTCTACATTTACATGTATACATGTATGTACATGTATATGAAAATATAAATGGGTTTACTGTTATGATAATTCCAGAAAATCAACTGCCATAATTTGACAAGTATGGATAATGAATATTCATATTCTCGGGGGGGGGGGGGGGGGCATCCAGGCATTTTCCCTGCCTGGCAACCATCACGGTGAAAAACATAGGCGAAAATTCACCAATTGCCATTAAACAGCAGCTCACGCAGAGCCCATTGCCCATAAAAATGCATGGAGCAGTGGTGGGCGTCTTAGCAACATAGAACTTTCTATGACGTAGCTCCGTCCCAGAGATTATTAAAATTTCCATCTATTTCAACCTAAAACTTCATTGTGCCATCTTGTGTTACACCAATCCAATGAAAGCATATGTTTCCATGGTTACTCTAACATTCTGTGTAGAATGCATAAATATCAAATAAACATCATGGTTATATAAATCAGAGTTCGAAGTAAATATTTCCAGCTTAGTTTTAGAATTGGTTCATTGCATTTTTAGTATACTGTAAAATACTTTATTTTCGCTTGCAATTAATTTTAACCATTTTCGCTGAAGGAATGCTTCAGTAAAAATAAAATCCAGCGAATATTCCCTTTTTTTCTATGTTTTACATTCAACTCGTCAGAAATCAGTGAAAATAAATTCCATACAAAACACACAAAAGTTTATTCAACGAAAATTAATTCCAGCTAAAATAAAGTATTTTACAGTAATATGGAACTTTGAACTAAATGCACAACTACGTGAACAGACAAAGTAATCATACATCAGTAAGAATGTCTGTAGATCAAATTGTGAATGGTAATCTTAATTGATGCCAATGAAAATTGAAATATTTAATAATTGAGTTTGTCAAATAGTTGAATAATATGACAGATGAGAATACCCAGTTTTCTGGAAAATTAAATGTATGCAAAATATATCCCTTGGAAACTACAAACGTTGGGTATTAAACAAACCTTGCACTTTATAACGGACATAAAATATTTTATAAATAATGATAAAAATAATAATGGTAAATAGTATTATGAAAAGAAAGTTTCTTATGAATCAGTTCTACAATTTACAATTTAAATGATTCATAAATTTCTGAATTTTGTTTTTTTGGATTGCTAAATATTTTTTTGCAATGATTATATACTTAGTATATAAATAAAATAGTGATAATTCTGCACTATTATTGTTGGGTTTATTTCTGAAAGGTAAAAAACATTTGGATTAATTGTAATGAGACAGAAATAATGATACTTCCAAAATTGTCAAAGTTGTTTCATCAAGGCTTGGGTCATCTTCAAAAGTGTCTGAGTGACATTGAAGTCTTTTTATTGTAATCAAGTGATTTAGAATAAAGTGAGTTTACTCTTTGTTCATTACATGGCTCAGTGATAACTGTGTTATTATTCATTTCATAAAGTATGATAATTGGTAGTCAATAATTTGAATATTTTGAACAACTCTCTGCTGCAGATTAATATCAATATGTGTTTCATGATTAAAAAAATATATTACATGAATATTCTAATAAGTCTAATGGGATTTATTTCATATATACAATGTACACCTTTGCTTTATATTTCTAAACCTTTCACCTAGACGTGTTTTATTTCTATTACACATCTGTGATTTTTATGATTATTAACCTTTGACACAGATAGATTTTATTTCTATTACTCACCTAGAGATTTTTATATTTTTCAACCTTTGACCCATATAGGTTTTATTTCTATTACTCACCTAGACATTTTTATATTTTTCAACCTTTGACCCATATAGGTTTTATTTCAATTACTCACCTAGACATTTTTATATTTTTCAACCCTTGACCCATATAGGTTTTATTTCAATTACACACCAGAACATTTTTATATTTTTCAACCTTTGACCCAAATAGGTTTTATTTCAATTACACACCTGTGGTTTTTATATATCAAGAGTTGTTTACAGTCTTAACATGAATTATTCATTATTTCTCTAAATTTCTTCATCTTGTTTACTTCACAGACTCAAGAAAAACATTAAAGGATGTGTTAGAAGAATTCCATGGTGACGGAATACTTTCTAAATATAATCCTGAACAGGTAGGATCCTTCATCTGTAATCTGAACACCAAATCTCTTGGACTGTTTATAGAGGTTTAGCTGTAAAGAAGACCTCTATAAACTGAACAGTCTCTGAATTTGGGTATGTTTTATTGAAGTTTCACTGTATGGAACCTCTATAAGCTTTTCACAACCAGACTTTCTCGCCCAAATTTTCCTACACTTTTTGATTATATTCTTCTAGAAAATAACACTTATTTTGGAGCCAACACATTTGAGTCAATTTGCAGTTTTTACTCAAAAAATTTGGCTATTTTTGTCCCAATCTTTTGAAGAAAAGTGACTTTGGAATTTGTGATGAGAAGAGGGAACTGGTGGTGAAAAGATAAACAGTTTCTTTTTTTTTTGGTAGAAGACCTCTATACAGTCTCTGATTTTTGGTTTGATTTACACCAATTTGCTGGCTAAACAGCACGGAATGCATACATGTACATATGATAAATAGTATATCAATAATTATTATACTTGTGTGATAATTTTAAATTACTGAACTTGTTTAATAAATATGATATTACAGTCACATATTTGATATGTACATATATGGTTTGTAAATTATATCTCATAATAAAATATATGTTGATTGGCAGCTTAAGCCTGCTTAAAGTTGTTATTAACTCTATTTGGCTACCTACAGCTGGTAGTCCTTGACAACTTTTTAACTCCGCTGTCGACTTTGTCGAGCGGAGCTTATCATATGAGTGATTGTCCGTCGTCGTCCATGTCAATGTTTTTTTTTTTTTCGACTTCTTCTTGAAAACTACAAGCCTGAATGCTTTGATACTTGGTGTATATGTACCTTGGGTGGACCTCTCTCAGATTTGTTCATTTTGTAATGATATCTTTAATTCTCTAATTTTGGTGAATATTTTTGTCATTTTTGGTAAAAAGTGATATTTTCGACTTGTTAAAAATCGCAAGTCCAATTGCTTTGATATTACATATATAGGTACTACATGTGGACCTCTCTCAGATTTGTTAATTTTGTGGTGATATCTTCAATTATCTAATTTTGATGATTATTTTTGGTGAAAAATGATATTTTTGAATTCTTGTTGAAAACAGTAAGTCCTGTTGCTTTGATACTATACATATTGTTCATTTTCTAATGATGTCTTCTGTTCTTTAATTGCAATGTGCATTGCTAACAGCGGAGCTATCTCAGCCAACAGGCTGCTGGTTTGAACATTAAATCTCATTTAGTAGGATTACATGAAAAATAATGCTTTCTTCTGTGCAGGTTATATAATAAATTCTCCTAATAATATTTCATGGGTTATTTTAGTGAGTTTACATGTGTGTATCTGAAATCTGTAAAATCTTTATATAGCCCAAACATGGCACACATGCAAAGTGAATTTTCCAGAGTGATTTTTGATTTGTTATATTGAGCCAAAATCCTGTAACTGTCTAATTTGTGTTGGAAATTGCAAAGCCAGTTATAAAAGGTAAAATTGTGATGAAAAATATTTTTGTGTATATCACTGCTCCTGCAAGATGTCCATCACAAGTGTGTGGTTGTTTAATCAAATGTCTTCATATATTTAATGTTGTTGACATTTGCAACACACAATAATATGTGTAAGCAATAAATTCTGGATCCATTTTGGTATCAGCCTGTTCTATAATAATTCTTTGGAAAGGCTGTGCTTGCTATTTCACCGCAGGCCTGGATTTACCTGCCAACAATTTAATCATGATAAATCAAGCTGAATTTAGCCATCTCCTCGAATTGCTGAACGTACTAGATTAACATGCTGATATGTGTCATAACGGCAAGTGAACTTGAAGGCATGACAACGCAGCTGATTTGCCCTTGGCAATGACTATGAGTTTTAAAACACAGAATTTGCTGTGGTCAAAGGTCAATACTTTTCCCCAATGAGACATTATATGTACATGAATAAAACATTTTACCATTCAAGGAAAAAATACCCAGAGGGCTTAGGTCATGTCATACATCTTGTATTTTTCACTCTGTTGTACTAGTATTTTACTTTGAAATTCATTCATTCCCTTGACATTTTGAAAATCTAAGTTCAATGTTTAGTTATAATCCAAGCTAGCTGCTCTATTCCAAACACAAAATGATGTACTTCAACGTTTTTCTTGAACTCTAATGTTTTTGAACTGAACAAAGACAGCAATCTTCCTGAACAAAGTGAAGGTGCCATCTAGAAATATTTTGCACCCTCTAGAAATGGGCATGCACCCTCTTGAATTACTGTGCACCATCAAGAAATGGTCATGCACTCTCTAGAAATAGACTTGAACCCTCTTGAAATGGTTATGCACCCTCTAGAAATGGTCATGCACCCTCTAGAAATGGTCATGCACCCTCTAGAAATGGGCATGCACCCTCTTGAATTACTGTGCACCATCAAGAAATGGTCATGCACCCTCTAGAATTACTGTGCACCATCAAGAAATGGTCATGCACCCTCTAGAATTACTGTGCAACCTCTTGAAATGGTCATGCACCCTCTACAAATGGTTATGCAACCTCTTGAAATGGTTATGCACCCTCTAGAAATGGTCATGCACCCTCTAGAAATGGTCATGCACCCTCTAGAAATGGTTATGCACCCTCTAGAAATGGTCATGCACCATCTAGAAATGGTCATGCACCCTCTAGAAATGGTAATGTACCTTCTTGATATGGCCATGCACCCTCTAGAAATGGTCATGCACCCTCTAGAAATGGTCATGCACCCTCTAGAAATGGTCATGCACCCTCTAGAAATGGTTATGCACCCTCTAGAAATGGTAATGTACCTTCTTGATATGGCCATGCACCCTCTAGAAATGGTCATGCAACCTCTTGAAATGGTCATGCACCCTCTAGAAATAGACTTGCAACCTCTTGAAATGGTCATGCACCCTCTAGAAATAGTCATGCACCCTCTAGAAATGG